CGTCTGTTATGTGCCCCGTCTTTCGCGTTTGCGCTTCTAAACCTCCGAGAAATTATAGGAAGTTGAAGTAAAGGATAGAAAACATTATATATTATAAAAATACGTGACTTTGAAGTAAACTTCCATAAATAAAAAAAAAAAATTATGGCAGCGGTGGGATTCGAACCCACGCCCCCGAAGAGACTGGTGCCTTAAACCAGCGCCTTAGACCGCTCGGCCACGCTACCAACGAAGTACTAATGTTACATGTTTCTATAGAAATTATTACCCATGTATAATATAATAGGATTGCTATCCAAATTTTTGTGCGCACTCAGCATCTGCAGGAGACAATACATTAGCCGGGGTTGTACGTACAGATACTTGTAGGAGCGATTCTATACACAGCAAATGGGGACATGTCTTTAGCGCATAAGTAGATAGTCAGAATATACGACTGACATGACAACAGACGAGGCTATACCAGGAAATATAATACGCAGGATGTGATCTGGTTCCTATATATAGGCCTTTATATTTTGACGAAGTACATGAAGTAGGCCCACAATTAAATGACCGCATCTTCCAGCTTACCGCTTCGACAGAATCTGATATTTCGTCAAGGGGAATAGTGTGGTTCACGTTGAAACATTATGAACAATGTGAAGATGCGATTCTTTGAGGTTATATATTCAGATTTCAGCTCAGTGGAAGTCTGTAGCAGTGAAAATGGTGCGGAGAAATGGACCACTGATTTGCAGAAATCGCAAAAGGATTTTTTTTTTATATTGAGGAAGTGAACTCTTTAAAGACACAGAATACATTGTACCTTGTGGAAGCAACTTTACGGAAGAAATGTCCGGTGTAAGCACGGCTTAATTTTCCGGTAGCGTATGCATACCGGAAGTAAATTTGTAATGACGTAACGGTCGACTTTATTAACTGACGTTGACACACCATAGTTCCCATGGTGGATTGCGTTACCTACTTACTCAGGGAGCTGAGCCCTTCTGGAGGAGCCGCAAATTCTGCAGCTACTCAAGAATTTCCCACCATTTTATGGAACCCGAAGATTCATTACAGTGTTCACAAGAGCCCTCCACGGGTCCATATCCTAAGTCAGATCAATCCAATCAATACCATCCCATCCTATCTCACTAAGATCTACTTTATGTTGTCCAGCCAAATACGCCTTGGTCTTCCCAGTGGTCTCTTTCCTTCTGGCTTTCCCACCAATATCCTATATGCATTCCTCTTCTCCCCCGTTCGTGCTACATGCCCTGCCCACCTCATCCTCCTTGACTTGATCATTCTAATTATACTTGGAGAAGATTACAAGTTATGAAGCTCCTCATTATGCAGTTTTCTCCAACCTCCCGTCACTTCATCTCTCTTCGGTCCAAATATTCTCCTCAACACCCTGTTCTCAAACACCGTCAGTCTATGTTCCACCCTTAATGTCAGAAATCAAGTTTCACACAAATACAGAACCACGGGCAAAATTACAGTTTTGTATATTCTAATTTTTATTTTTTGGACAGCAGACAAGAAGACAAAAGGTTCTGGATTGAATGGTAGCAAGCATTACCAGAGTTCAATCTCCTCTTAATTTCTTCCTGAATCAGGGTTCGATCTGTTATCGTTGTTTCCAAATATATGAACTGTGCCACATTTTCAAAACATCTGTTTCCTATCTTTATATCATGATTTTGCCCTGCTTTTTGCATTTCCTTATGCCAAATAGAAGTAATTAGATTGTGGATCTTAGAATGTAATATTTCACCTCTTGGTGGATGGCGTTAGCAGTATCAACTTTTCAAATAACCAGCTACCTAACTCACAGTAGTCCTTCCTGATTCTTATCCTCAGTTAGTACCCTCAAACCAAATCTCTCAAAATCCCCTTCAGTTTTATCCTCCCACATACACCACGGTATCTAGAAAGTCTGCTATCTTCAGGACTTCCGTATCTCGTTCCACATAGAACTTCATATATTTTAACCTACCGGGGATTAGCGTCTTCTGGTATGTGACCTTCGTGTAACCGGTACATGGTACTGACGTTTTGGAGGAACACATTTGCCTCCGTCTTCAGGGTGTCTAAAAATGCAGTGAGTTCCTTCGAAAATTCGGCAACGTTCTACCAGACTCCACGGCGTCACAACCCAGAAGGCAGTGAGAACCAGAAACCTCGCATTGATCCTTGTGACTTGCTTGAAGAACAGGTAGTGAGATTAATATGGGTAGGGTACTGTGCCGGAGGAGAGAGAACATCTCCTCTATCCACTTAGGGGAGAATCCAATAATTCCAGCGGTCTGCAGGGAAACGGGTGCATTACACGTAGCTTCACTTGGGAGTAATACCGAGTGGGGTAGGTCGGAGTTGGGCATGTGCAAAGAATTGTAAGCAGCTAGGAGGAGAAGACTATGCGTTGACATTTCAAAAATCTTATCGTGTGGGTCGTCGAATCTCTTTCTCTCTTCTAGACCCTAGCCTACACATTCCTTTGCAAAGCGTGCATGTTGGCACAAAAGCGACGAAAGATGAAGGAAAATAGATGCAAGGAAAGTGAGAGAAAACGAGACGCAGAAAGAGAAAGCGTGAGAGAGAGAGAGAGAGACAATGACTGCGTCGATGCGGCAAAACGTGTTCAGTAAAAGTGTTAACTTTAACCCTTTTCTAACCATGAACCGACCAAAGTGACCGGGAGTATTTGCATTAAAAATGCCACAGCCGAAGAGATAGATGTTAATCACTTAGTACAGTATTTCTGTCAATAGATGGCATCACATTTACCGATATCGGAGGGAAAAACAGTATCGTGGGCTCATCTGTGCAACAGAACTTACCTCGAAGTGGCCCTGACATTTCTATGGCGGAGCCTGTTAATCGCCGGATTTAGGAATGCAGTGGGGGGGGGGGGNGCAGAACATACAATAAATATTAAATTTGAAATTCTGTATCTATGAATATCTGACTACGTTATCATCTTCTTCCTTCCCGGTTGGGTGCTGCTACGTCACACTCAGGCCAGACCAGGGGCCATTAAATCGTGGCCGGACTATAAACTAAGAATGTCATACACATACGCCATTTCTAAATTTAATCTTACTCACTGATACTACGGAATTCCCTCTTACGGCTACATTTTTTCCGTTTCGTTTCACGTCTCTTCAGGGCGTTATCTTTCGTTTCCACATCTCTGTTTCTCTCTCTCTTTTGTTTCCACATCTCTGTCTCTCTCTGTCTCTCTTCGTGTGCCCTCAGCCGGAAAAAAAAAGATAGTTTCTACACTGACAGAAACAGCGAAAATTGATTTCTGTAAGGAGATGTGAAGCTCAGTTAGTATAGACTAGGCTATGGTTTGGACGACCTAGGGGTCGGAGTTTGAACCCTGGTAGGGTAAAGAATTTTCTCTTTTCCACGTCGTCCAGACCGGCTCTGGGATCCACCCAACCTCCTATCCAACGTGTACCGGGGTTAAAGCGGCCGGTACAAGAAGCTGATCGCTCAACCCCAGCTAATGCCGAGGCCAAGAAAATGTGGATCTATACATCCACTTCCCCATACACCTTCATGGCGTAGTGCCTAATTAGTTAAGCACAGGGACAACTTTACTTTTACCTTACCTTTTGCTGAAGCGTGGAGCTGTCCTTCCGTAACCTGACAGAAATATCTTTATGTTCATGGTTGACTTGTTTCTGTAATGTTGGCAACCCTTTTGAAAACATTGCCTTTTTGTGTCGTCCGAATTGTTTCGGCTGTAGGAGGGTGCCTTCAGTTGCCAAGGTAACCCAGTGTGGGGCTGTTGCATGCGTACAGTTTGTCTGAGGGGTTGCTACTGTTGGCAGGGGGGGGGGTGAACGTACTGGAAGGTTACAACCTGAGGCAGTGTCCCCCAAGGAATGTTTTTCCTGGCAAACGTTTCTGGCTGTTGATTATACGAATATCGCCGTGTGTTGCCGATACTTGCCGACATGCTAAATATTTCGAAGCTGTCTATGTTCTGGGATATGATTTTTTGAAAGGGGAGGGGTTATTTAATGACGCAGTAGGATCTAGGCTGTATGGCGCCGGACGGTAAAATGAATGGTGTTAGGACAGGAATAATCGTGGTCTAATTAAGGTACTGTTCCGACTTTTACAAGGAGGAACTGAGTAAAGCCACGATTCTAAGTAGCTCATGTTACAAAAAAGAAAATTGGAAAACACCTGCAATTCCTTATGTCTACTAACAAGTAACAGCGCCCAAATTACGTGTTGATTTCATTTAAATTTTGTATCATAAAACAAAACTGAATTTTCTTAACTGCTTTTTTATTACAATTAATTTTATTTATTTTGAAGAGTTCCGTATTCTGGGATGTAATGCCTTGTAGTCCGTTGAGGGTCAATCGACGCATCGGAAGAATATGGCGCCTCCATCTTCAGGGTAGAAGAATAAGTCAAGCAAGAATCCATCACGAAGCAGGTGACAAGCGGAGTCTCTGGTTTCTTTCTTGGAAGCGACATGTTCCTCCGAAACGTCGTCTGACTTTCAACGGTCTACACTGCGTTATATTCCAGAAGATATAACTTAATAACAGCTGCTGTGAGAACCTCAAATCCCATTTAGCTTGTTTTATTTGTTTATGATTTATCTCTCGAGGTTTTTGTATATACCGTTGACTGATAGGATTATTAGCGAATAATGATTTTAAAGAATATGGAAGGAAATATCCTTGCGGTGGGCTGATCCCCCGTCCAAGGAGTCCTACCGACTGTGTATAGGATTACCAAACTGAAAAAGCGACCAAGGTCCAGCAAAGGGCTGTAGAGCTATAGATAGGGAGGAAGGAAATATGTATGACCTAATTTGAGGTTATATCCTGGTATTCGTCTGGAGGGACTGAAGAAAAACACGAACATTCACACATGTTATTCTGTGCATTGCCACTAGGCAAACTTTCTTGAAGTTGTTTGCGACCTACACGAATCCGTCGCAGTGAAAACCTAACCTAACCTAACCTAACCTATTTCAGGTGCAAGAGTTTCGGTACAGCGAAGCGAGGGGAGGTTTGTCGAATTCCGGGAAGCTCTGTGTCACCTGCAGCCCCAGGGACTCCAACCCCTATTCGGCTCCCGCAGTTTCAGGGGGATACTTTCAGACAGTTCGTCAACTATGTGTACACCGGAAAGGTAATCACTTGACGAGTTTGTGTTTAATTTCCTACAAGCTGGAAGGTCGCGGGTTAGAGTCCCGATGAGGTGGATTTCTTTTTTTCAGTTGATCTTATCTTTCCACCCTTCGGTCGACTCAGCCTCTAACAGAAATGAGTACCAAGAATCTTCCTGGGGTGGTAAAGGGCGGCCGGCGCGTGAGGCTGACAACCTCACCGCCATCTGTGAGTCGATTGCCTAGATAATGTGGGAGCCTCGACGTCTCACAATCCTACGGGCCTTCACGGCCTCCTACAGGGATACCTTTACCTTTTTTTTACCTTTTGTTGGTGGGTGTACACTAGAAACTAGTTTTAAGCTTTTGTCTACTATGCGAGTAAACGCTATTTTATATGAATTTCATACGCAAATTAATTAATGCCTTCCCTTTGGAAATAAGGCGGTAACATTAAACATATCAGATAGCGGTAATTAACGTTAGATTTACGATACATAGAAGTCAGGATGGCCCCGTCGGTATAGCGACGAAGTTCGAGCTGGACGGCCGGGGTTCGATTCCCCACATGGGCAAAAATTTTTATCCCACAGCGTCCAGACCGGCTCTGGGGCCCACTCAGCCTCTTATCCAATGGGTAACGGGGGTAAAACGGCCGGGGCGTGACGCTGACAACTCACCTCTATCAGCTGCATTCTGATAAAAGCGATCAGGCCAGGAAATGCAAGCATGTATATAGAGAGAGCTACGGGGATTCCCGCGATTCTGTGTTGCCAGATCATGCTGCAGGACAGTGGCGTGTTCGAGATGCTGAATCTGGCTCAAGAACTCGGCGTGGAGGAACTGAGAGCGGCGTGTGAAGATCACGTGACCTCGACGCTGTCTGCCCTCAACGCCTGCACCTTCCTGGCAGCCGCCATGGATATTCAAGACCGGGCAGTCGGTAAGTGCCGCATCTGCAAGTTCTTCTACTTACGGGTTGGTATTTACGCGCAGTTCATCAAATATTTTGTTAACTCAGATTCAAATTCAGTGTACCCTGTACTAACCAACCAACTAAGGAACTACCTTACTGAGAAGAATGCCGTGAAAACCTCAAATCTTACATAACTAGCTAACTGACTAACTAACTAACTAACTAACTAACTAACCAATTAGAACAAAAGACTCCGTGGTTTTAGTCGGCAAGCGAACTATACCGAACGAGCGACCGCCGCTTGTGGGCGAAGTTAGTGCTAACTTTAGCGGATAGAGGGTGTCGCGTGGTTAGTGCAACTAATCCCCAGGGCCGTTAACTTCGGTTTTATAGACCGGAGCCGCTACTTTTCCATTCAAGTAGCTTATACTCACGAGGCTGAGTGGACCCCGTTCCAGATCCACCACTTCTCAGAAAATCTGGTAGCCTCGGGAATCGAATCCGGGACGTCTGGATCTGTAGCCAGGAACTCTGATCACTAGACCACAGAGACGGTCTAACCAACTAACCAACTACCTTGAGAAGCAAATAGCCGTCAGGCTGCTAAGAAATTTCCCGCCTTTTATAGAACCAACAGGTTCCCTACCTTGTCGACAGTAAACCCACCGCTGAATTTCGTTCGGAGCCAGATTAATCCAGCCCAGAACCTTAAATCCTATTCATTTAAGATTCGTTTTATTATCACCTCCCAGTCGACGCCTAGTTCTCCAAAAGTATAATTTTCCCAAGTATTTGTTTATGAATTTCTCGTCTCTCCTCTGTGCTACATGTCCCACCCATCTCTTATTACGTTATACGTATTATCATCCTTATTTGTCGAGGAGTATAAGGTCTGAAGCTCCTCATTATGAAATATTCTCTAGTCTCCTGTTCTTAAATACCTTTTAATCTATGTTCTTCCTTTAATATAAGATTCCAAATTTCATGCCCATATAAAACAACAAGCAAAAAGTTCGCCTTTTTATATTTTAATCTTTACTTATTAGGTTGTGGGCACGCGGTAGCGTAGTTGGTTAAGCACCATGCTACAAGCCGGAAGGCCGCGGGGTCCATTCCCGATGAGGCCATTAGATTTTTCATTTGACCTAATCCTTCCAACCTCACTATGTCCCTGTGGTAGGTAGACTCAGCCTCTAACAGAAATGAGTATCAGGCATTTTCCTGGGAGTAAATGGCGGCCTGCTGGCGCGTAAGTCTGACAACCTCACCGCCATCTGTGAGCCGATTGTCTAGAAGATGTGGGAGCCTCGACGACTCACAACCCTATGAGCTTTCAAGGCTTTTTACAGGGATAGCTTTACCTTTACATATTAAGTTAGCAGACGAGAGGACAAGAGATTCTGAACTCAATTATAGTAAGCATTCCTGAAACATAATGCGCTCGTAATTCCTTAATAAATACAAATTTGAACATTCACTACTCTCAGGTGAGTTCCGAAGTGATACCTCTCAAGCTGTCTCCAACACTTCGTCCCGTGCATAAGCCAAGGAGTTACGAAGTTAACCCTGCGAAATTAAAAAGTCAAAATTCCGAAATAGTTGATGACACTGCCACCAGTAACGGTATATGTTTGAATTTAAGTACACATTCATAGTTCTAATAGTCGGCTACTAGGTGGTGTTATAACCCCACTTTTCCTCGCAATGTTGCCAACGAGAAAAATATACTTTTAATTTTGTTGTAAAATATGAATGATTTCTGTGAAATATACTGAGAAAATTTGTGGTATTAAAACTAGAACATGGGCAGAAATAGGTATGTGATACTTGATCCAAAATAAAAGTAAGTGTATATTGTAGTTACAATTGGTTATATTGGCACTAGATTCTTGACGCCATTTTGAAACGACGCCGGTAGAAGTAAAGTTGTTAATTGCGTTAGATACACGTTTGTGGTACAGTTTTAGTTGTCAGCAAAAGAGAAACAAGGGAAAAATGGCATACAAAGGACCACAGAAAGTGCAAAAGGTGATGGTGCAACCCATTAACCTTATCTTCAGATATTTACAAACCAGATCACGCGTGCAAGTTTGGCTGTATGAGAACGTGAATCTTCGTTTGGAAGGTCACATCGTTGGTTTTGACGAATATATGAACTTGGTGCTGGACGATGCAGAAGAATATCACATGAGGACAAAGAACAGGAAAGCGTTGGGTCGTTTGATGCTGAAGGGTGACAATATTACGCTCATCCAGAATGTCAATCCTCAAGCTATGTCTTCAGCGTGAACACAGTGTAGTATGGAATATTCATTCGAGACCGTTGTGATAAACGAATGTTATGAAAAGGTTTATATCCATATGAAGTTCATGAAAGAAGTGTAAGAATTTGGCTCCTTTCGTAATTGTTTTAAGATCCACAGATTTGAATAGAAAGTTTTGTGTGTGTGGTAATTGAAGAACCTTATATCCGAACAGGACAAGCAGTGACAATTATATATTTTATTAAGAACGCAGTGTTTGAATTAATACCATTGCCACAAAATTTAAGTACTATTGTGAAATATGCGTTTAAGATGTAATTGTTTGTTCTGTCCTGAAATACTGTGTAAGAAGTTTGTCTAAAGGTTACAAAATTCCATATGACATAAATATTTTGTAAGGCAAGGTAAATAACAGTTGTATTTAATATTTTACTGAGTAGAGAATTGGCGTCCTTTACCATCCTTATATCATAGAATGTTAATGTACCCATTTTATGTTTTAAGGGGCCTCATACTGCATATCTTTACAATAGCAATTGCATTAGGTAAATTAGAATGATTTTTGTTTGCTACTAAGTAAATAAGTTCTGAATTTAGTGATGGATCACGGGACTAAGCAGATGAGAGCAATTTACATTACTTTTAGTGGCCTCCCACATAAAATCTGCCCCCCAAAAATATTTTGCCCCTTTGAACAGGAACTGTGCTTGTGAGATGTGTGGTAGGCCAGTTATATATTGAATCAAAAGTTAAGAGCACAGTTACTAAGTCAACTCTGCAAGGAAAACAAAAGCATACACATTTTTGTCATATGAAAGAGTTCTGTCTTCTGGGGTATGATGCCATGCAGTCCATTGAAAGTCATCTGATATTTTGGAGGAGCATGTCACTTCCATCTTCAGGGTCAAAGTACCTGTAAGGAGCAGGTACAAGCAGGTAGAGCTTCTGCTAGTCACCTGCTTTCACATTGGTACCTTGATCAGCTTATTTGACTCTGAAGATGGCGGCGATATGTTCCCCTGAAATGTCGGTTCACAGCGTTATACCTCAGAAGATAGTAGTCTTCATGTTGGTTCCTGTGTGCCGAACTAGAACATGTGACGTCACAGAAAGACAATATCTTTATACTCAACCACATGGAGAATGTCAGGTCTGCCATGAATGATCAGTGTTATAATTTTATGTAGGCACTGTACAGTTTTTTGTTTTCCTACAAATTTGCCTTAATAAATAAATTTATACTCTTTGGAAGTCTACATGATATGTGATTTATTTGTATTCCCACTTAACATCATTATGGTGATGTGCTTAGCTGAGCACAGGGACAGCCTTCCTAATTGTGAGATGGGTTCTCGTAGCGCTGATTATGAAAATTACTGTCTTCTGGATGTGATGCTGTATTGTCCAGTAGATAATTATCAGTGTATCAGAGGAACGTACAGCCTCTCATCTTTTGTTCCTATAAGATTGAAGCACCAGGATCTTAAAAAACACTGGTAAATATCTGCCACACTACACAGAATCACATTCCAGAAGATCTTGAACTTTTCACCTTTTATGCAGTACTGGACATAGCACAGCTAAAGAAGAAAAAAAATCCTACAGTGGACAAATATGCTATGAGTAACGTGTTGGTAACAGAAGGTGAATTAAGGTGGCAGCAATGTGGGATTTATGATGGACAAAGTGACACTTTGACAGTATCAGTGTGAGAGTAAAAGGTAAAAAAAGGTAAAGCTATCCCTGCAACAGACGTTGGAGGCCCATAGGGTTGTGAGATGTCAAGGCTGCCACATTTTCTAGACAGTTGGCTCAGATGTGAGGTCAGCCTTATGCACTGGGCACCCTTTACACTCTCAGGAAGATTCCTGGTACTTATTTCTGTTAGAGGCCAAGTTGACTCCAGGGCTGTAGCGTGGCTGGATGGATTAGATCAGTTGAAAAATCCATTGATCTCGTTGGGAATCAGAAAATCAGTTACGATATCCATGGTGAGTGGATTGGCCATGGCTGAGCCACCCTTGTGGCACAAGTCCTATCCAATGTCAACAAAGAATGAGGGCAACATGATTTGTTATGCATGCTTTACAGAGAGGTATTTTGTGAATGTAGAGTTAGAAGACTTAGGTATTCTTCCTGTCAAGTTAGGCCAACCCATATTACAAAAGATCATTTCATGGATGCATGTTGTAGAAAATTCACAGATGAGTTCTGAAGGTGCAGACTGCATAATTACAAAATTTTGAAAATCTGGATATATTTATATATTAGAAAATTATCATAAGTAGGATCTTGTAAAGTTAAAAAATATAAATACTTTTTAAAAGTACAATTTTGAAGATTTTTCTAACTTCGAAATTAAGAAAAGTGTTTACAGTTTCGGAGTATATAAACAATTGAAAATGTTAACAAATAAAAGTACACAGATTTAAAATATACAAGAAATTCGAACATATTGAAATATTAGAAAAAACTAAGAATTATGATATAAAAAAAAAATTAAATTTTCTAAGATTAAAACCAAAATATTTCAAAGGGTCAATAGTTTGAAAACAATTTGAATGCTGTGAAAGTATCAAATATCTGAAAAATTCTCAAAACAAATTTGAAAATAGTTGAAAATTTATGTGATTGAAGAACTTTTGTTATTCTATTTATTCCATTAACTTGAAAATTTTAGTTCAATTTAAAATTAAATATATGCAGATTTTTGAAATACAAAGTTTGTTAAAATTTTCTAGAATTTCAACAGCCAAATTCTTCAGATAGTTAAGAAGTTTGAAAAGTTCATTATATTTGAAAAAAATATGCAATGTTGAAATTTTCTCTAGTTTAAAATTAGGCAAGCTGAAATTGACTGAATGTTAAGAATTTGAAATTCGAAAATTAAATGAATTGATAATTATCCAGTATTTTTAAAAATGTTACAATTTTCCAGAATTTCAAAGGATGAAAATATAAACAACTTGATTAGTTTCTAAATTAAAAGAAATTTGACAGTGTTGGAATATTTCATATTGGAGGTTGGGTGCGCAGTGCACTGTTTATTCCCGAGACATTATAAAGAAATGGGGGCACTAATCATATATTTTTGATACGGTATGGTGGTTGCAATCAAAAAGAATTCTGTATATTTCTCTGTAGCCAGTACTAGTTAACAGGTAATTTAAGACATAATTTGTGAATCAGATCCCATACATATTACACTGGGGTAAGACAGCCCGTTTTTAAATTGCTGTTCTCTTAAATATGAGAGTATACTCAACATTTCTCTTACTACTAGTGTAGTGCCCACTGAAAATTCAGCTGTATCATTTTTTATACCAACTTTGTAGTATTGACTTCTCCTGTGATCTCCTGCATCATGTATAGTCCTACATGGTATCAAATGATATATATCAAGGCTGACATTTGATGCCACTTCCAAAAAATACATGCACAAATAGTCAATTGTGGAACTGTTTCCTTCATAAAGTATGCCACACTTTGCATATATACATGAAAATATTATCACTATTCATAGAATAGACATGATACACTGAAATAAGTGATTACTCACTCATTGTAACTTACAATCATGCATTGCGTTAATGCTTGGCAAGTTGTTGCTGTGGTAACCCCAAGTTGTGTAGTAATAACCATGAATCTTAAGCTCACAGAACTTTTTAACATGTATACAGAGAGAAGATGACCATTTGCAGTGAAACATTATAAGGAAAAGTAATTTGTCACTCCTCCAGATAAATTCATAGCTACAATTCTCCTGCACAAACACAATTTAAAGTTAAATTGTAGAACCACAGAATGTTTTTCTGGTAAAACTCATACATAGTAATTGTTTTTTTATATTCTTCATCACTGTACATTGGTTCCAGAAAGGCCCTATGTCCTAGATTAGTCAGTTATTAGTTTCCTCAGCCTACTTGTAACTGTTAATTATTATTTTATCCAGCTTAAACACCTTCAAGGTTGCATCATAACTTGAGTAGGCAACCTTAATGGAAGGGAAGTCCTGTGCGTTTGGTGTGGTTTCTCATGTGGTGTCCATATTGCTCAGGATCTATACGTTGCACAGTTTAATACCAAAATTCATGAAAAGAAATAACATATTAATATCTGTAAGTAATGTAATCCTCGGAGGTGTTTTAGACAGAGCATACTTCCACTTGAGATGAAAAGACCATAGAAGTAAATAAAATATATTTAAATTATTGGCATAAGATAGTAGAGAGTGAAATTATATTTGATTTTGTTTATGATTTATTTATAGCACTTCTCAAACTGAAATAACTTTGATGATCGACAGTGTATGAGTTGCTTAGCAAGCAGTATGTGAAATGTTGCAGGTGGAAAAGGAGCCAAGTCATTTGTGGATCGCTGTATTTCTTATGTTGGTGAAAATGCTATTGAGTGTGTCAAGACAAATTCATTCCTGAATCTTCCTAAAGATGCACTTGTGAAGCTGATCTCTTCAGACTGTGTATGTTCACTGCTTTTACTTATTACTTTTAAATGTACACACAGGAAGAATATGAAATGCATATGTTTGGTTATGTTTTGGGAGAGATGGAGGAGGAACTGGAAAGGATGTAAATTGTTTGGAAGTGGTGATTCCAGTTGTCTGCGCTGAGGTGTAGTGAGGTTTCGAGGTAGCTTCTCTGTGTCATTTAGCTAGCTTGTGGTGGCTGTTTACTGCCAACATATAATTCCTTTGTGTTTTGAACCTCTGGTTTCAAAGAAAATGTTGGGTCAAAAGAACCATATTGCAGAACTCAGTAGCCACTCCATGTGCGTCAGCAGGTCATTTAAATGCTAACACAAGGGAATGAATGAACCCAGAATAAAATAAAATTCCTCCAGTTGTTAAATCGTTGTTACACCAAGAAGTGAACCAATCAGTGAGTGACAGACACTTAGAAGTTCATTATTTTATAAGATCTTCTAGTTGCATAATGTCTTTAGAAGGGGAAGAAGGTAAATATTTACTTGGTGAACTTTGCTTGAACCTCACTGGTTTGCATATGTTGCTGCAGTTGGCTTTAGAAGAGGAAGACGTGTGGCGGGCTGTCCTCAACTGGGCTAAGTACCAGGCTGGCGTCACTCAGCCCACAGCTCACTGGGCAGAGGAAGAGCGTGTGCGGGTGTGTCAGCATCTCACTGGAGTTATCAACCATGTTCGTCTGTTGCTCATAGGTGTGTGTGGTTGTGTTACCTTTAATTCTTTCATTGTCAGATATTTCTCACATGGGTGTCTCTTCTGCTTATGTTGTGCACGGTGAAAATGCTGCGCTTTCAGATGGTGATGGAAGGAATTTGAACAGTGCTATCTTCTGGGTTATGATGCTGTGTACTTCAGTAAACTTCAACAATGTGGAGGAACTTCCCAGAATATAGTATTGTTCATAAGGACTGCTGTGAGAACTTCAGTTTCAATGGATTTTGACACAGTTTTGTGTTTTGAGTCCCTTATCATAATGACATGATGTCTGCTTAGATTGTAGATGGTAGCTACAAATATTTTGAATATTAATTGCAGACAGCTGACAAGGGGTTTGGGTATTGGGCTAACAACTTACCACTGATTAAAGAGGTCACAGAATGATGCATATGGTCTCAGGCTTTCACAGAATATTTGACATGGCCTAAACCACAGAAGACTATATTTATCTGTGGTATATACACTAAAGGTGCTGTGCCATAGGCAGTTAGACACTGGGTTCAACTCAACAATTTAATTTCTGAGGTTAGTAAATCTTCTGCTCTTGCAGACAGTCAGGTCTTTGCTGAAGAAGTTGAACCCACAGGAGCAGTGCCTATGGAGCTATCCCTGGAACGTTATCGATACGCAGCTTTGCCCAACAAATTTCGTGAGAATTCAGAGGACAAACGATTACAGCCCCGTGTCTCCCTCAAACTGTTTCCTGGATCTCAACTTATTACGCAGGTAATGTCTGTTCAGTTTACTTATCGGAACCAGAAATAAATATTGTAGAATTGTGGTATAATTTTTGGACAACTCATAACATTGCTGTCAAGACCTCAAAGCTTAATGTGTTTCTAAATGAATGGTAGAAAGATTACATCCTACTATTCACTTGCCTTATCTTCTCTTCATTGGAAGACAGTACTTTTACCTGATCATGGAAGCAGAACCAACTTCTGAGATTTGTTCTTTAATCAGAAATGAAACAATGGGAAAATCTCCAGCATGTGTCTGTTTATAATACACTTTTGTTTCAGGACTTATGTCTCAAACGACTTTATATTTGCAGTCTAAAAATTAGATTTGTTAGGTATAAAAAATGTTCTATTTAATTATAAATTGCCATCAAAATAAACATTTTTTGGTCTGAAATTTTTGTTTCTGATACAGACCCTTTAAAAGATGCAAAGGTGTTTATATCATTTCATTTACTGCAGTGAAGCAAATCAAGACACAAATGTTTGACAAAATCTGTAGAAATCTTTTAAACATGTCACATTACAACTTTGTGTGATGTTATCTTTTTCAAACCAAAATATTTTTCTCACATGCCATTCCACTCTTTAAACCAATCCTGTCTTCAGTCATTCATGTCACTAATGTTCAAGATCCTAAGCTGAATTTCAGGTTTTGTTGTCACATTACACGTCCCCATGACTGTCATGTTATCTCATTCACAAGACGAGGTGGCCCTCAAACCTTTAACCTTCGATGCCTGAATAATATTACAAATTTCAGATCCTACTCTGTGCAGGACACACCATGTTTCTATTACAGAAACGAGTCAGTTAATGTTGTTTAGGGAAGTAATTGCCACCTATTCTGATAATCACTCAGGAACCATAAAAATATTACTCATTTACTTACTCATGGAGCTGAGCCCTTCTGGAGGAGCCGCCAATTCTGCAGCTACTCAAGAATTTCCCAGCATTTTATGGAACCCGAAGGTTCATTACCGTGTTCACAAGAGCCCTCCACTGGTCCCTATCCTGAGCTAGATCTATCCAATCCATACCATCCCATCCTGTCTCTCTAAGATCCATTCTAATATTGTCCACCCACCTACGCCTTGGTCTTCCCTGTGGTCTCTTTCCTTCTGGCTTTCCCACCAATATCCTATACGCATTTGTCTCCCCCATTCATGCTACATGACCTACCCACCTCATCCTCCTTGACTTGATCAATCTAATTATACTTGGAGAAGGGTACAAGTTATGAAGCTCCTCATTATGCAGTTTTCTCAAACTTCCTGTGACTTCATCTCTCTTTGGTTCAAATATTCTCCTCAACACCCTGTTCTCAAACACCCTCAGTCTGTGTTCCTCCCGTAATGTCAGAGACCAAGTTTCACACCCATACAGAACCACAGGCAAAATTATAGTTTTCATAAAAATATTGTGTGGATAAAATAAAGAATCTTTTAATGTTAAGGTACGTGGTTCACCTAGTAATCACTCTGTTTCAAAGGGTCAGATCATAGATTTTATTGCAAAACAATTTTGTTTGTACAGGAGAAGACTTGTTACCAGCGTGTTCTGAATAGTTGGTATGGGTCTTCCAAACAAGTTTGGCGGTTGGTGTACCGAGCATCGAGTCATGGTTATTCTGCTGAATCATTTCATATACACTGCGATGGAGTGGCTCCTACATATGTAATAGCAATGGTTAGTGTTGTGGTGTTATTTAATGATACTGAATGGGGTTATAGTGTAGCAGTAATTTTCTTGACTTGTATTCAGGAGCTGCTCAATTCAAATCGGAGCCAGTTCACCAGCTACCCTGATAGGTTTCTCCTGGTGTTCCTTAGTTCAGGAAAATGTTAGGATAGTACCTGGATTGAACCATGAACACTTCCTTCCAAATTCTTTCTAATTCACATGTCATTATACCATTCAGCATTGTATAATGTAGCTACTGATAGCTTTGTAAAATAACCCACAAGAAGAAAGCAACGATACTTGTTCATTTGCATAGGTTATACAGTGTTAGATGGTAGGATGATCGTGATATATATGTCTTGGAAGTGCTGTGGAAGGGAGGAGGCTTATCCTGTCTTAGGCTTCTGTCCAAGCATTTGAGAAACATCAGACGGGTTACTTAGTTAGTTAGTTAGTTATTGGAGAGGGTGGGTTTCCCCATGCACTTAGACCAGTATTGGTCCATTGTGCTTCCCTCTATGATATTCTACCAGTCTCTATATCCTACTGATATTGGTGCGTACCATCAGTCCTGACCGAGCCAGCGAGTTCGGCCTCCACTAGCTTGGCGGTATCTATAATGCTTTCCCCATCTATCAGAGGTGTTAGAGACTACTTGTTGGGCGGGAAACGTCCTTGAATTTGGCTCAGTGACCTCCTTTGGAGATATGAGGTTCTTTTATGTGCCGTAAAGCTACGATACGGGACACACGGCTTAAAGTCCCTCCCGGAGGACTTGTTCCCTGAATTTTTTCGTCCTTAAAAATTCGACAACCTCCGCCGGGTTTGAACCCGCGTACCACGAGTCATGAGGTGGGAACGTTACCTCTAGACTACGGAGGCCGCTAGACGGGTTACTTAATCTATGATATATTGATTGTGATTCAGTCATTGTATAGTAAATCATTTTACATAGGTTAAAGAAGATTTTAATGTGGTGAAACTGTTTATTACTGACAGAAATAAGTTACTGTAATATGGAAGTGGACTGCAGCAGAATTACATTTGGCATGCCTATGTAGCACGAGTGGATAACATTAAGGTGGGGTTCTAGAAAGTGGATGGCAGTGATAACTGCATTGAACTGTGTTGAATCTGAGGCATTGAACTGGCTCAGGACTGGATTCTGTGTTGGTTCATGAACCTTCTTTCTTTCATGACAAAAGCAAGGAAACTAGGTAAATTTATAAAATTATTTATGACACACATACCGGTACAATGAAACCCCCATTTAATGTCCACTTGGAAGCAGTGGATTTGAACACTAAACTGAGGTAGATCTTAACTGGAGGGAACTTAACATGGTACTGTTGAATTTGTGTTCTTGAAACTGATTATAAAATGAGGGAAAACCTTAAATTGTGGAACATTAAATGGGTTTCCATTGCCCATATATGTTCGATAATTCTGGTCTAAAATATTTTTGAGCTTTATTTCTCATTATTTGTTGAAAATAGAATCTAGTAATTTTCTAATGATGCTGCACCCTCAGAGGTATTTGAGACTCAACACAGATCAGACTTTGTATAAAGAATGTGTAAATTGATTAGTTTCTGATCTGTCACAGTAACCTTAAGGTTCTTTTCCTCATGGACATATTAAATATGAATTCCAACATTTCAGGGAGCCCGAGGTGAAATCTGTGGGGGATTCAGTGATGTTCCTTGGGGGAAGACAAACACCAAGGGCCACTACATCCCATCAGAGAAGGCTTTTCTGTTCACTCTAAGTAATAATCACGACATGCCTCCCACAAAATACGACATTGTAAAGAAAATGTTTGCCATATGCTATCATCCTGAGTAAGTACTCGTCAAGTAGGTATAAGAATGTAACTTTCATGTTTCCTGCAGCAGGCTTAACATAGAAATGTACCCCGTTCTCTTGCTAATATGTTTTTTTTTTTGCTAGTGGGGTGGGACTAAGTCCCTTGCACTGCGGTCACTTCTGGCCTATTGTACCAGCCCCAGATGATAGGTGAGGGTGACTGTGGAGCAATTGGTGGAATGAAGATTGGCAGGGGAAACCGAAGTACTCGGAGAAAACCTGCCCCAGTGCCATTTTGTCCACCACAAATTCCACTTGACCAGACCCGGGCCGCTGCAGTGGGAAGCCAGCAACTAACCGCTTGAGCTATGGCGCGGTCTAATATATATGTTAGCCACCACTGTTAAAGTGGTGTGTAAGTACTGTGGTAGAATTTCTAAAATCAATTCAAATCCTCAACCCCGTTCATATTTTTAATTACATGAATAAACTTAAATTCTTAAATTGGGTGTTATTCCTTTTTTGAAGTTCTAACCACCATAGAAGGTGTACCACCATGTACTGACCAGACTTCAGTGGTGTATGAAGCAAAGACTCACCTATAAGCAATAAGTCAGTTCACCGCTGAGTTAAGAGTAATGTAGTGTTGCATGATACCATCAGTATAACATATTTATTTTCTATCTCATTGTTATATTTGACTGCTGCAGTTGTTTTCATTGTCCAAGAGTGTTAGTCAAACACAGCACCTGTTACAGTGCATAAAGGAAGTCACTGCTGTAGTAAGAAACAAAATTGAAATGCAACAATAATTATATATACGGTACAGTGATGCCAAGTAGCATATATTCAGCCCAAAGGAGTTCACTTTGAGAATTTAATTTTGTTTTAAAGTTGGTAATAAAACAGTTTAGGGGGCACGCGGTAGCATAGTTGGTTGAGGCACTATGCTACAAGCTGGAAGGTCATGAGTTCCAAGTCCCGATGAGGTCATTGGATTTTTTTTAATTGACCTAATCCTTCCAGCCGCGTTATGGCCCTGGGGTCAACTCAGCCTCTAACAGAAATGAGTACCAGGAATTAAATAATTTTCCTGGGGAGTAAAACGCGGCTGGCTCATAAGGCTGACAACCTTACCGCCATCTTTGAGCCGATTGTCTAGATAACGTGGGACCCTCAATGTCTCACAACCCTATGGGCCTTCATGGCCTCTTACAGGGATAGCTTTACTTACTTTAATAAAACAGTTCAAGAGAAAACTGATTTTGCCTTCGCAACCACTAACTTGATAATGGCAGTAAGTCACAGTGGCGTTTATAGGACATTTTTGGTACAGATTACCTATGGTCTGGTCACCTAGTGGTGGGAAGCGCATATACTGTGATACTGATGGAGAATGCTACCTTGTCCCAGGCAAAGAATGGGTCCTTCTGATTATGTTCACATCACTGTTTAATATATGATGAGCTGGGACAGTCCTATCTGTAAAGTGACTCCCCTTGCCACTGAATCCAGATCAACTTTGGGTCCCATCCTCTCTTCTATCCACTGGGTACCAGGGACCACGTGAGTGTGATGCCTGATCATGCCCTCCGTCTAGTGTTGAGGTAATTGTATGGACCTCTACTTCTGCTCCTCCTAATCATCATCCTTATGTTTAGGTACAAGAGTATTTTTACAGTTTTGCAGCTTCTGAGAGTTAGCTGGTCAGATCTAGACGTGTAGTTGGGATATGACATTGTGTAGTCTCATAGGTGATAAGTGAAAATGTTGGCACATTTGGACAAAGTTGCTACCTTGGGGTGGGCCTTCTTGGCCCTTGCACCACGACCTACAGTGGTCTATTGTGCTTAACCTGCTACCTTTGTCTTCACTTAGATTCCTCCAAAATGTTCGTTACCACCTACCAAAATACATGGTACCAAATCCTATTTTCATTGCTGTGGAAACCAAATCTCAAACATCTGATCAGACATTTTGTAATGTTAATATTTTTCACAGCTGTGGACCAATATTTGGAGCAGGAGCTGATTTTCTGATAGCAAGTAACTGCAACACCAATATGGACAGCTACTCCAATCTTCCACACTCGTACGATGGAGACAATGCCTCGTGTAGCATCCTCATGGGAGATTATAATTTCACTGTTATTGACTATGAAGTGTTCACGCCTGTGGGAGGTAAATAGCTGATAAAGCTATGGTGAGATATTAAGGCTGTCATGGTGATTTGCTGAAACTTGGGTTTTCATTTGTGGGAGAGGATGTGATGTGTTGAGCTGGTTTACTTGTATTTCAGAGATATTAACTACTTGTGTTTGTGATGAAATGACTGACAAAACCTTCTTGTAGAATCATTCCAATAAATTTTTTATTTACTTAATGCATTTTTATTTGGAATATCTTTGAGCCCCTTCAAATAAGTACAGGGGCATGATGAGAACTGTCTTCTGCGATGTGATACCTTGTAGTCTGGTAGAAGTTTACTGATGTTTTGGAGGAATATACTACCTCCATCTTCAGGGTCGAAGAATAAGTTCTGCAAGAAAGCACTTCTACAACATCTTAGAAGACTGTACTCTTACACACACCACCATGAGAACCTCAAATATCAAATACTGAGGGCCTTAAAAACTCATAACCAATTTTTCCTGCATCCTTTCCAACTCTAATCCTCCTCACATTCGACGCTATACAATGTTTACAGTTTATAAAGCATCATTAAATAAACCAAGAATCATCAGCAGGTATATGAATGGAATTGACAGCAAAGGGGTTAGGTAATGTAGTGCTATGAACTGTAAGAGGAATGTGGCTAATAAGTACTGAAATATCAAATGAAACTTTGTAGAACTACATAATAATTGTAGATGTGATGATAATTTTAAATGTAATGTATGTTGTCAGTTCTGGGGTATTATCTGCTCAGTGATATAGCCTTGTTTTGCCAGTCACGGTAGCCGAGTGGTCTTCGCTCACTCGGAAGCTGGGATCGTGGGTTTGAATCCCACTCGTGGCATGGATGTTTGTGTGCGTTTTTCTGTGCTTGTGTACAGATAGAGGCCTTGCGATGAGCTGATCACCCGCCCAAGGAGTCCTACTGTATATCTAAGATCTAGTAAACTGAAGTGGAACGGAGAGTTTCATGGAGGTAGGCCTAGGCCCAAATGAGGGCTGTTGTGCCAATGAATAAAAAAAAAGATAGCCTTGTTTTTGCACAAATATTCAAACAGGAATACTTGACAAGCCTGGCATTCTCATCCTGAATGAGAATATGAGGTCACACAGGTGAGGCACTGCAGTTTGTCTTACAGGAATGTATGGGTAGAAGAGGTCCCCCACCTCTCTTATACTCCTAACATGAGTCCACTGGACTTTGATCTCTTTCCAAAGTTGAAGTAACAACCAATAGAAAAAAAACAGTACAAACGTACATATAGTCAACTAACACTACACAATATCATTACATTTATGGGCACAAAAACAATATTAAAAACTATATATGATTAATCACTTATTACAAAGAAATAATCTTTATTTTTATCATATTCAAAATCAAAATATTCTTCCAATGTATAATATGAACGGCAACACAAAAAATCTTTCAAAGCCAATTAAAAACTGTGATACCCATATAGCAAGTTCCCTTCTGATATAGTGACAGATGAGCTGAGGGTTGATAAAGATTAAGAATGTAACTCTGTCTTGCATTTCTGTTATGTATATCTGATATAAATTGGTATGAATCCATGTTATCAACCGTCTTAACCGGTCTTAAAGCACTTTTACCTTGTCTGAAATCTTATTGCATTGTCTTCCATGAACATGCCGTCTGTATGGTGTTCATAGTATTACATATATTATGTAGCAACGCTTCGTTCCTACAACTGTAATGTAACTGTTTGTAAAAAAGTTTAAATTGATCGTAACCGGTTTAATAATATACAAGTGCAACAGTTCTACTACTGTGATACATTTGAATTGTTTGAATTACGTACTCTCGTTTCTCGTTTGTTTGTGCTTTGGCGTGGCATGTGCGTAAACAAACAGCTCGAAATTATGGAGGCATATACGAATGGACAGTATTTTGAATGTAAACAAATGGTGTCTCAGGCGTCTTGTGTAACGAAATAATGTATCAGTATTATGTGCGTGTCTTCAAAATTTGTAAATGAACATGTGGTTTTATTTGAATATGCAGTAAATTTGAAGCTAAAAATTATGGACTATGTAACGTAACTTGTGTGACATAACCTCACTTTGGATTTTATTCACGTCATTATTGTGAAGCAAAGTGGATTTTAGTGAGCAGTATCTTAATATATGACTTTATAAATAGTAGATGCACCCGAAGGAAATACATCTGTATGTGTATTGATTCAATAATACGCGGTTGAGAAACTATTATAAAGAGGAAGCAGTCATGAAGAAATGGCAAATTTTTATGGAGACCTGGCAAAACAAGTTGGAAGTGATGATGAATCTCAAATATCCGATGTGGATCCTTCACAACTGGCCAAGATGGTGGAGGTTAGTGTTTCCGTCTTTCAGAAGTCTTGACTTGGCTTGTATACCAGTAGACTGCAGTGGGTAGAAGTATAGAACATGCAGCCAAAAGTAACATCCCCAAGAGTTCCTTGCTGAAGCTTCATGTGTGCTAAGGGAGGAGCATAGTAGGGTTAACATGCCAAACCAGATGAATGACATTAACATAACTAAAGAAATTGTCTGAAGGAAAACATGGGTTGTGGAGCACATTATTCATATAAATGTAGACAGACTTATTATCACATAGTGCTGCTCATCAGTCAGTACTCACCCATGTTACCATGACACCTGACACTTCATAATTCTACCCAGCACCTTAAATTATTTCACACAAGAGAAATATGCCTCATTTTGTAAATTTCAAGTACAGGGAGCATTTTTACTTTCTTGACCAGTTCCATAGTTCTGCACTACATAGTGGCTGGTGTATCACTTGCTGTGAGGTGCACACAAATTTTGCTGATGAATCAGCATGCCTGACAGCCGATGATGTTCAGAACAAAGGAGAGTTCTTACCTTTGTTCACAAATCACAGGAGGTGTTGAAAATGCTGTAGATATTCCTTGCACAGACGGAAGAGGTTCTGATTTACACTTCGAAGCTGTTCTGTAGGAATATTTGCAATTTCCCTATTTCTTTTAGTTCTTCTATTTGGGGGTTAGTGTTGTAAACATTGTCCTTCAAACAACCCCAGAAGAAAAAATAGCAAGGAATAAGATCAGGTGAATATTCTGGCCAGATACAACTGCTGATAATTCTGTTCCGAAAGTCATTGGACAAAGCCTGCATAGACATACATGCAGTGTGAGCAGTAGTTGAGTCTAACTGAAACAAGCCATAGAGTCTTTCCTCTTCTGTTAACTCGGGAAAGAATTGCTGAAGAATGACCTGTACATACTTTTCACAATTAATTATTTTGTTAAAGAACAGGTCCAACAATCCTTGCACTTACAGCACAACAGACACCAACTCTCACTGGTTGGGGGGTGGACTTCATGGGTTAGATGTGGATTCTGTGAACTCCAGTAGCAATTATTTTGTGTATTTATGTACCCCTGCAAGTGAAATCACATTTCATCAGAAAAGAATGTCAACTGTGGATCGATATCACCTTTGACGACAGACTGTAGAAACCAACTGCAAAAGTGAACCTTGCTAGCTGGCTCATGTGGCTGCAAGGCATGAATTACAGTTGTTTAATAGGGTCTAAGCTTTAGCAGTTGTGTTGCCCTTCTTGCTCTAGACTTTGAGAGAGAGAGAGAGAGGGGGGGGGATATTATAAGGACAAAAAGAAAGTAAAGCTATCTCTGTACCAGGCTGTGAAGGCCCGTAGGGTTGTGAGACGTTGAGGGTCCCACATTATCTAGACAGTCAGCTCAAAGATGGTGGTAAGGTCAGTCTTACGTGCCGGCCGTGCTTTACTCCCCAGGAAAATTATTATTTAATTCCTGGTACTCATATCTGTTAGAGGCTGAGTGAACCCCAGGGCTTAGTGCGGTTGGAAGGATTAGGCCAACTGAAAAAAGTCCAATGACCTCATCAGGATTTGAACCCGCAACCTACTGGCTTGTAGCATAGTACCTCAACCACTATGCTACCACATGCCCCGGGATATCATAAGCTTCCTTTTATATTTTAAAAATAAGGAAAGTAGGCCACAAATGAGCACGTTTCTCATAGGAGGGATTTTCTTTTTATTCTGGCTTCTTGTTTGGAAGGTGGTTTCTAGATTTATGAGAAACATGTTTCGGCTTGTTATGTGATGATTTACTTTGTGCTTTCAGGACATTGATGATTTGGATGCTGGTTTGTTTCATTCATCTTTTAGCAAGAAACAAGAGAAACCATCTTCAACAAAAACAGTGGTTAAATCTGCTTTGAAGGTAAGTGTAATTTATCTTTCTCCCTTCCACTCATCCATTGAAGGAAGTTCTGGCAGGTTCATGATCTCACCTGTGATGGAGAGAAAAATTGTTGTATCAGAGGTTTTGTTTATACGTACACGACTTCCCTTCCATTAGGTTGCCTATTCAAGGTGCATTATACCCTCAGAGATGTTTTAGACGAATTGTACTAAGAAATATCCAGATTTACTTGACACAATTTTGCATTTTTATTTTATTAAACTGGATATTCAGGCTTTGAACAGTGAATTTCTGTGGACCAGAATAACTCAGTCTTTACAGCGGCTAATCTGTGAGCTGGCTGACAAAAGAATCAGAGTTTGATTCCCAGCAAGGGAAAATATTTTCCCCTCCCCACAGGGTTGAGGCTGGTTCTGATCAAAATTGGGCATCACCTGTACAGAAGTTGAACCATCACCGCTTGCTCATCTATTAGAGAAAGCTAGTCCCTTGATGAAATCAAGGATAGGAAGAGTCCATGTAACATCTCAGATACTGGTATTTGGATTTTTATTGGCTGCATAAATCTTTCCAACTTTTGGAATTACAGTTTTTGAATACTGTGTTTTCAGTCTTCCACATATGATGACAGTTCAGAAAGACCCCAGAAATCTCATGTGACGTTTGATTCTCCAGAGAAATCTGAAAGCAAGAAATATATAAAGAAGAATATAGACTTTGGAGGTGAGAATCCATTACATTCATGACATCAGCAGTAGTTATGGAAAACATGCTATGATTTAACACTACAGTGCCATAAAGAAAGTACAGGTATAGATTGATTTACATGCCTTTGGGTTACTGAATTCTTGTATACAGATTGTCACATGTTGGTGACTAGACATGGGATTTGGATTCATAATTGGATTTATTGAAGGCTTATAGCTCATAACTACAAATGATTATAACAGTCTCACTAATTTACACACTATATAAATCACTACAACTATAGCATTCTGTCATCAACAGACAACAATGGAGGTTCCTCATGGGTTAAATGTGAACTGCCACTGTTCACTTGCAGCTCACAACTACTAACCACTGACTCCCACCTCCAGCTGACTTAACTTCTTCTGCTGGTCCTAGCATAGACCACACAGGAAACAATGTTTCCAACAGTTCCTCTGTGTTGCATGTTTATGTCACAACATTCATGCACGTGCACATGCGCACGCACACGAACACACACACAAATGCACATGCACAAGGAACCCCATGGTGGAGAGTTCTTCTTGAGAATCTAATTCTTTGTCATCTTCTAGCGAAGAAATTGTTTGCATTGTATGGAACCAAAGACTCACCCTGTTTACATGATCCTACCAGTGGTCCCTGTCCTGGGCCATACAGATCCACTGAACGCTTACACACCACTCCTTTAAGCTTCATTTTAATGTTATTCTCCCATCTTACCTGGCTCTTTAAATACTCTCTTTCCTTCTAGTTTTCCACCCAAACGTTGTGTGAATGTCTCATCTATCCTGTGTGTGCTGTATGCCCTACTGATTTCATCCTTAATTTTTTCATTCTAATAATATTTGGCAAGGACCACAAGTTATGAAGCCCCTGAATATGCAGTTCTCTGCAGTTTCATGTTATTTCCTCCCTCTTAGGTTCAGATATTCTCCTCAGTATCCTGTTCTCAAATAGACTTATTCTGTAGATTCTAAAGGGTTCTGACAATGGTGGATGACACACAGAATTACTGGGTTTAAGGTCTTTCATTCTGGTCCGTCACACTAACCAATTAACAATCAAGTTCCTTCCGTCAAATGTGACACTTTTTTAAGTTTTCCACCTCGTCAGCACCTGCCTTACATGTTTCGGCTCACCACAGAGCCATCATCAGAGGCATTTATAGTAGAAAAAGAAATCACCAACACACAAAACTTCACTTTGTCCAAGATAGCCACGTTCCAGTTAATTAAAATAATTACAAATAGTTAAAATTACCCAGAATGTCGGTTCACTAAAAGTTTTTCACACACCACAGTAGCTTCCTTATTTGATTCGTCGTTAATTCTGTAAAATTATGTTTCGTTATTTGAAGTAAGAATTCTTAAAATCCCTAGAATTCTTTCCCGCTTGGCCCAATCTTTTTGCTTCGGGATGTT